TTTGGTTGTTTCTATGACAAATTAGTCCATGTTGACTCATTGACAAGTTTTTATATGTAGTTGATGTTTTGGAAAGTATTTCAGCATCTTTGAACTTAATTCAATGTTATGTTTTGCTGTGAAGCTTGTCTCAGTGGATTTCCCTGTCTACTGCACATGCACTTTAAAGTTGCTTTTATTTTCCTGTGATTTTGTGTATTCTTACTCTTATCTCTGATATCTGCTTACCATGAATTTTTGTTAATGTTATTTTTGTTGTCTGAGGTAGGGTATTGTATATGTTCTTCTTTACCTTTTCTTTGTTGTTACAGTATTGTTTCTTTCCAGATTGTGATTGCAAGTATAATGTGCTCTTACAATGCTGCAGACTGGACAGAACTTAGCCAGAAAGCTGAAGCTTGTGGGTCAGATGCTCTTGAACTCAACTTGTCATGCCCACATGGGATGGGTGAATCAGGCATGGGGCTAGCATGTGGTCAGGTAATGAATAAGTATACTGTACAGCTTCCAAATTGATTTTATTATCAGAGTATTAATGTGATTGGAATGTTACAATAGGATGCTTTTGTGTTTGGTTCTGTCAGTCTACAATATAAGGTGTCTGAGACAATATTCTCCAAAAATTAACTATTTGATTACTTTATGTTTTGAATTAATTTTGTTTTTGTTTTTTATAAAAGGTTTTTAATTAAATAATTCCCATGAAATTATGAGAAATATATGGATATTTGTTTCTGGTGTATAGGATCCAGAACTTGTTCGCAACATATGCCATTGGGTGAGAGCAGCCATAAAAATTCCATTCTTTGTAAAAATCACACCAAACATCACAGACATTTTATCCATAGCAAGAGCGGCTTATGAAGGTATGTAAATGAACATAGGCATCTGTGTGAAATAATTGGTAATTAAGTTGTGTATGGCATTTCTTTATTAGCACTGAGCCCGTACTGCGAAAATTAATTTTTGTTGTGATTTATCTGTGTAGTAATGTCAGTGGATATATGAAAGCACTTAATTGTATTATGTATAAACAGAAACAATACTATGCTGGATTTTTAGAACCTCATTACTGTCTAAATGGCTGTAAAACATATTCAGTTGTGTTCATACTTCAGAAGTTCAGTAGTGTTGTTCATTGCAGAAACTTGCTGATCTACCAGAGATTCTTAGAGT